TCCGGTTTTGGGGTGTGACATTGGACGACCTCCCACTTAAATGTTGGGGGCTTATTAGGAGATACTTATGATTTTATATTTGTATTTATATAGAATATTTTATGTATATCCCTTTGTGAAGAAGTTGGACTCAACTTTCAAAATATAAGCTCAGACAGTCATTTCTAATTATATAGAAAGGGCACTGCTTTCTTGTCAGCTCATCTGGAATGTTGAAGAAGAAGTTGGACCCTCCATTAAAAAATTAGCTCTGACTGTCATTTCTAATTATAAGTTACAATGTTTTTTAGCAACAATTGTGTTAGAAGATCTAGAAAAAGGTCGTACAAACACCCAACAATTACATGTTGATATGTTCAAAATGAATCGATACAATAGATGGATCATGGGCACCTGAAATTGACCCATGGCCGACTCTATTTATAAGTTTTATTAGCTAGGGCTTAGGGCCCCCAATTCTACGGGGCCCCATATTCTGCAAAGTCTAAAAGTTTATTTCATTAAAACATCCAATCCGGTAACCACAAAATAAATCAAGCGGAAGAATAAATCAACGATTGTTGCACTCATGAAACTGAAACGATGTTGTATTCTTATACCACTTTTGATTTCTGCAACACATTCATATCATCCATTTTCGATTTCCGAGTGAACGAGTCTGTAGCAATACACATTCATCTTCTATTCTTTTGACTTCTAACTTGATTCTCGATTCAAATCCTCATCATATTGTGTTTCACTTTCGTAGTATTCTATTACTGTTAGACAATTTTCCTGTCGCTAATCTATTCTAGTATTCTTTTATGTCGATTATCGATTCTCTATTAGAATCTTCTACATGTAATATCATTTATTGAAATGGATATGACTAAAATCACATCTTATAACAATTTATTTATGGATCTTATGACTCAATACGAGTCTTTGCATTGCTTTCTATTATTTTATGGCGTCCATAGTGATGAAATGCTGAAAATATATGGGAATTTGATGCATAAAAACTTTAGAAGGTATGATTTAGGAAATAGTTTAAGAATCAATAAAGGATTTCAAGTTGTTCACCTAGAATAACCAGAAATCCTTAAGCAAACTGGTCAATGTTATAGAAAGCACAATGTTGGGATTATTTGATTTGTTAGTCAGATCACTCTCAATTACTTTTTCGATTAGAATATAACTATGTGATTGAGCTATCTAGTCCTCAATACCATAAATTCTTGACAGTGAATGATAGGTTTTAGTAACAAGTTTGTTATGTACTTTTGGTATATTAGGTGTTATAAGAATCATATAGAAATTTTTATCAAATTCTTGTTGATTTAGGTTATTACAACATGAAAACTCCTTTATCTCAAACTAAAATTGTCGATGAAGAAAACTTAAAGAGCGAACATCTATGTGAATACAATTGAGGATTATAGGAAAGGCCAAAGGGGCCAAAAATTTTGGTTCGCTTAGAGCCCCTAAACTGGTTGAGCAGCCACTGAAATGAATGGTAGGCGCAAGTCTTCGATTTTAGATGCATATTTCTAAGTGTTTAGTATCTTTAAATATTTATTTTGGAGTTACAAATAGTGATTCTTGGTTCATAAGAATTATTACAACAAGAAATAAGCACATTAGCGACGTCGTCTATAGCGACGACGGTAACCTTCACCGGCGACATCAGAAAACATCGCCGCTAAAGGTTATTGTCGTCGCTATAGACGACGTTGCTAATGGGCTTATTTCTTATGTTATAATTTTAAAGGATGTCATATTTTTGGATTGTATTGCTCAATTTCATGGTTGCTGTGATGGGTCATGGAGGTGACGTTGGTGACGAGCCACCACATCCGTTCCATGGAGGTTTTGGTGATCACCAAATCGATGATAATTAAGATTTATTCTAATTTATTGTATTTCATATTGTATGTATATAAAAAATTATTTTGACAAATATTTTTTTATGCAGCGGTGACTCCAAAACGAAGAGGCATATCAGTAAACAAAAAAATGTACAAGTTATTTGCAGCTAATGGCAAACGGCCTCTGAAGATAATATTTTACATAAATACTCACATGCCGATTGGGGAAGTATACAAATGTTTCATTCAGGAGGTTGGGAGCTATATGTGGCGCGACATCACTTTCAATAAGGACACATGGAAAGAAGTTTCTAAAGCCAAAAGGGTTGGCATGTTCTAGTATTTTTCGGTAAAATTTTATAAAGTTATATTTAATATGTTTAATTTTGATTTATTTTTAATTTCTCTATTTTTTTTGTAGACATGGTTATATTTTGGAGCGATTTCAAATGATCCCATGTCATAGTTTATTGGGCGTCACTGAACAATCTGATATGTGCGCGGCATAGATGCCGCAAACATATTGCAAATACTCATTTTACTGGTTTTGTAGGCGATGTGGAGGCAACAAGGGCTCAAGCCCCTGAGGGTATGGATCCGCAACATTGGAGTGATGCTATTAACCACTTCTTAAAAGAAAAGAATAAAAAATATCCGCTGAAAACAAAGAATGATGGAAGAAGCAAGTACTTAAGAATCGTGGACGGACGTGCAACTACAGTAGTGTTTGTTTTAAGAACATAAGCTAGAATAATGTTTATTCAGTTATAACATATTTTTTAATGTTTATTCAAGTATAACATATTTTGAAATCTTAAGCAAAATTTGAATAGACTTGAAAAATTTCATAGTGGGCGTGTGAATAAAAAAGCGGAATTTGTTGATCATTTGGTTGAAGACCAATATGTAAGTTATTATTACTTACAAATGATGTAGATTGTTGTTTTTTTGTGTTAGTTTTAACGTATGTTAAAAATCTTAGTGAAATACAGAATACGTTAGTTGCTGAGGTTGCTTTACAGACTCAGCACATAGCAGACTCTGGTGGTGATCCAGACTCCATTGATTGGATCGCAATATTTGAGAAAGTGTTAGGTGCTGGAAGGGAGCATGTGAGAGGCATTGCGCCTAAACCTTCTTCTGCAGCGGGTACAAGTGCTCCATCTCAATGACAATCATAGTCACACGCACCACAATCAACACATGTACTTGTTAAATTCTTAAAGAATTTGGTAGCTTTGCTATATTGTTAAGAAATTGATGCATTTATACTAATTTTTGGTAGTTTGGTAGTTTGATGGTTTGTTAAATTGTTAAAGACTTAATTGATTTGGTGGTTTAATAGTCTTTTAAACTGTTAACGACTTAATTCATTTAGTGGTTTGATAGTTTGATAGTTTGTTAAATTGTTAATAACTTAATGTGCTTCATACTTAATTGTAGGATGTTGATGTGAATGCTTTTCTTCAAAACCCGACGTTTGTGACGACAATTGGAGATATTATCCGCCCGTTTAAGAACCAACTCAACAACGAGGGAAATAACGATGGGGAAGACGAACACACATAATATTTCTTGTTTTATGTTATTGATGATGTTATTTTGGATTTATTACATAGTTTATGGATGATATATTTGATGTTTATTTTAGATTTATTAGATAGTTTATGTAATGTGGTATATTTAATGTTTTATGTAATGTGTTATGTATTTATTTATGTATTTTTATCAAATCTGCATTTTATAATACATATAAACTAATATCATAAATAAATTGTTTTTTCAAAAAAAAAAAAAAAAAAAAAAACATTAGCAGTGACACTTTTATGGACGACATCGACCAATTGCGACGGCTCCGGATTCCGGGAAGAGTGCCGGAAAAACTCCGACCGATGGTTGGAATATCAATAGAGACAACGCCATTTGCGATGACAAACGATTATTAGCTACAAGGTAATAGCGACGATCCTTTAGCGATGACATGTTGTCGCTAAGGTATTAGCGATGACACGAGGCATCTATTGCGACGTTTTTTGTCGTCACTAAAGGTTATGTTTTTTGTTTTGTATTCTAATGTTCAAAAATCATAATTTTTAATATTCGAAGACAAGAATTACTATTTTCTTTAAAAGTTATCCATCCTTTTCTACGAAATTAAGTATCGTGAAAATAGTTTTGATTCTTTGGAAGAAACTTACATACTCAAAAATTGTAAAAGCTATTCTCAATTTATGTTTCTTTCCTACGGAATAAATATGAAGATTGGCGCTTAATAAAATTTCTATTACATTCTTGTTATAAAATATAATATTCTTTGTTTTTTCTTGATGTGTTGTGTATATTATTGTTTTCTGCATGCTTGAAATTAATATCTTGTGAACTTACACTACTAGAAAACTGCTCCATCACCTACAATAAATTCCGTAGGTAAGTTGTACGTAAAACGGTTTGCCTACGGATTACCTACGGAAAAAGCTCCGTAGGAATATAGCTCGTGGGTAAATGGTTGTAACGGATTGCCTACGGAATTTTCTACAGACTACTAATGGAATTTTCTGTAGGTAATTTTCCTACGGATTGCCTACAACTCTAGCCACCTACGAATTAGCTAGATAAGCTGTTTTACTGCAGGCGAAACTTTTATCTACAGATTACCTACGGAATTTTAGCTACGGATTACCTACAATAAATATTATCTACAAATTTCCAACAAAAAAAATATGACCTACAGATTTCCTACAATAAATATTACCTACTGATTCCATACGACTTTTCCAATTATTTGTGACAAATATATCTGTCGCAAATCCATAGCTAAATGATTTCCTTTAAAAAAAACTGAAAAAACTGAAAAATATCCAGGTTTTTTCTACCTAAAATATAGAAAAACCAATAATACATTACAAATGCAGAAAAAACCCATTACATTCATATTCAACCGGTCAAAATAAAATGTCATTAACATTCACAAAAAGCTAGGAACTATCTAGCGGATTACCGGCCAAAATAAAATGTCACTAACATTCACAAAAAGCTAGAAACCATTTAGCGGATTACCGGCCAAAATAAAATGTCACTGACATTCACAAAAAGCTAGAAACTATCTAGCGGATTACCGAATGGGTTGTTTATAGTCTAATACATTTCTAATGCTTAACATTCATAAAAGTAGGAACTATTAGGCGGATTACCCGATGGGTTCAACTTTCTCAAAATGACCGCAACTTGTTCTTCTAATTGAGCGTGTCGCACATCCATTTCATGTTGTCTTATTTGAAATCGTGCATCCATTTCAGCTTCTATTTCTTTTAATTGCAAATCCAATTTAGCTTGCATCTCGATTTGCATGGTTTCCATTTTCTCTCTCAACCTTAGCACCTAAAAATGGTAAGAACATTAAAATCAGCAAGTCAACTTCACTTTTAAACCATAATAGCAATGCACTTTATTTTTAATTCATTATAAGAAAATATAAGTAATGTAATCAATAATACCAACATACTTTATTTTATATCAACAATCCATAATAGCAATATACTTTAACTTATAATATCCATAATAGCAACATACTATAGTATTCATCCATAATAAGCAATGCATTTCAATTCGACCACCCATAATAGAAACATACTTTATTTTCATCCATGTACTATCCATAATGGCAACGACATATTTTTATTTTTCTCTATAAAACATAATGCATTTATCGAATAAGTATACCTCTTGTTGTGATTGTTCAGCCTAGGACGAGGTAGACCCAAAAGAATATGTCCCGCTAACACCAAAATGAAGATTAGATGATCCAATCCCATAGATGCAACCTTTGCCTTTCCCTCCCTGCCTCTGCATCTGTGTGGCGGCCCACAACTCAGGATCATTAGTTCTTTG